TTGACACGTATCCAGGGTGATGCTTTCTTTTTGGAAGCTAGACAGATCCATTACCTCCACCTATCAGACCCTGCACAGTGCACACTGAATACAATTAAACGGAGGATTGGGAGTAAACCAGTGCCTCTCGTATACGCGTATATCCGCAATCATTTTTAACCACCCTCCTAGGAGTAAAGTTAAATTCCATTGCAGGTTAGTCGTACCCACTCTCAGCAAAAAGAAAAAAGGACCGATCCGGCTCTAACAAATTACCCGCGTAAGGCGTAGCGCATCACAACAAATCGACTCCCAGTTTATCATGTTTACACCTAATCCAAAATTTTCATGGCCCCACTCTCAGCGACCTTCACGTGTAACCTCTTTCTCGAGACAATGCCAGGACAGAATGGTGATTCGACGTCAATCCGTCCTTTCCATCTTCAGGATAGTTGAATCCTCCTCCACGCCTCATCCCCCTGTTCCGGGCTGGACCGGCAACGTATATCGCAATCGGGCAGCTCACATAGGAGCGCGCCTGTAGCCGGGTGCAGTGAGTGCTTGGGAGGGGGAAGGGGGTGGGTCATGGGTGGCGGCTGCCCACTGGCTGGGCTCAGTCTCCAGTCTACGATTGACCGTGTCCGGTCAGACAAATGTCTCCCCTAATTCCAATAATCCTGCTAGCTCTAAAAATGGTCTGATTAGATAAAAAGCCTATCAAAGTAAGAAAACAGGCGTATACTCCACATCAAGCAGCTTATGAATCTATGCGAGCTATGAATCCTAAAAATTATTATTTTCCCATGGGTCCGCCCTCATTACCCCTGCCGAAGGGCTCAGCTACCCTCAGAGGGGGCCTATCCCACTATTTGCCGACCCTCAGTTATCTTTTCTAACGTAAATGCTGGTAGTCAGCAGATTCTATCCAGAGAATGGCGATGCCTATCTGTCGCCTGATACCAGAATACATCCCCGTTATTCATTATTTATGCACAATGTACATAGTAGATCCAATTTCCAAAGGACCTAATTATCTCTCAGCTCCGTTAGCATCGCCGACCGTTTGATGCATGGGTCCTTTTCCTACCATGCGATTTTCAGATGCATGGGAACACATTGCTTAGTGAACGAACAGCCCGAGGCCGAAAATCTGCGAGAGAAAAAGAAAGGAGTGTTTGTGGCTGTTTGAGCCAGCAAATATGAAATGTGTCGCAACATTTTACGTGCGAACGCACCTTGCACTAAACATACCTATATACGTCCCTCATGGCATAGGCGGCGGAGCGGGGGAGGGGGCACCGGGGCACCGTGCCCCCCTTGATTTTGCCATTTTAACATTATCCCGATAGGCGTTGCATGGAAATGGAAATGGAAAGAATGAGACCAAAAGTCAGCAGTGCTCCCCCCCCCCTTAATTGAAGATGTTCCGCCGCTACAGCCTCATGGCTACAAAATGAGAGAGAGAAAGAAAGAGAGAGAAAGAGAGAGAGAGAGAGAGAGAGAGAGAGAGGGGGAGAGAGTTGGGGAACGAGGAGGAGAGGGAGGAAGATGGGGGAGAGAAAGAGAGAACCCACAGCGTATCACGAGTGAAGTCTACTGTTGATATTCATACTTCCGCTACCCTGCCAATGTGCCCATCGTTGCGCTTTCGCAACACCGCTGTCTTTCCGATGTGCCCTTCGTTGCGTTCCCGCAACGCGACCGTAGTCATATTTGAAAATAGTCACAAACCCTTTTTGTAGCATTATTTCTTAACAAAATGCATATCTACGCTATTGTAGGGACTCTGCAGAATATGTTTACACAATTTTCATTACGATATTATTAAGCACTTAGCCTACTTATCTTGGTTTTCGTGACGTCATCACTCACAAAACCTTCGACTTCCCTCTGGGAGCTCTAGTCAGTAACTTACCGGACGCACAGACTTGTAACTGCGTAGTATCATGCGCACAACCATGCTACACACGCTGAAACTTGTCTCATCGGTTAGTCTCTTTTACACACTTCTCAAGCTTCGATCACGTCGACGCTTGCTTGCGTTGCGAAAACGCAACGAAGGGCGTAAATGGGTTAATGCTTTTCCGGCTGTCGGTCGGGCAGATCCGTTTGTGTGGGCGCGCGTCCCCAGCGTCGCAGTTTTGGAGTTTGGCTCGGGCGGCATGCGGAGCGCCGGGGCATTGTTCGGCGACTGGCCAGCGGCCCGGCGTCGGCCCCTTGCAGGACGGTTTATGGCCCGTGACAGGTCGACCCGGACCCCCGGCAACGTGACTCGCTGTTGAGAAATTCCGACAGCCCTGAAGAAAGAACTTTTAAACTAACGAATTGGTTGGAATCTCTCGTCTTGCCGGCAGGTGCCTTTGAAGCGACTTATTTTTCACGGGAGGCAGCGCAATTGGATTCTTTGAAGAGATTGGCGTGGAAAGAGCCCAGCGAAGCGTTGGCTCTAAATTCTGGTGCGCGAACTTACTCTTTGAAGATGTAATTAAATTGATGCTGGGATTATGAGGCTCGCGCACCTCCAGTACGGTTCACTTCTGAGTGATGAAAATGCCTCATTTCTCGGCTGTGTGCCGCCCAATGCCTGACAAGCCTTCGGTGTTGGAATATTTCGCCTGCTTTAGCTAAGACCGCCTTGGGCAATATATTTATTTGCATGAGTTGTAAATGTTTCCCCGTTGACTTTTATAATCGGTCGTCCATTAGCTGTGAGCGATCACCTCAGACTGTTCGGGCGGCACCAAAACATTTACCGGCGCTCGGCGGCGCTGTTGAGCGAGCTCATTTCCTGTCCGTCCGGCGGGCGGAGCGGCTGCCGCGGCGGCGCGCTGCTGTTTCCGCATTTTTACCGTCTGTCCGGCCTCTGCAGCCCGCCGAACCCAAATGTTAGTCGATCGCCGATCGAATCGGGCCGGCGCGCGCGACCCTTTGACGTCAGTGTTTACCGAGAGCGGCCCGCCGGATGGCAGTTGGAGCGTTTGAGCTTCACCGGCGTGCTGCCTGGCGCTAAGTACTGTCACAGTTTTACCCGGTGAGGGATGAGCGAGGAAATGGTAGTCGTCAGAGTGCCGCTGGTCACCTGAGCGGGCTGAGGTCCGGACCCGGCTGCCAGCACAGTGGCGTGCCGTGCTACCTCCGCCGTGACGGGGTCAATTTAGTCACTTCGTCGCACTGAAATTGCTGGCCAAGGCTGTGGGCTGTGACTCTGTCGTCAGTCAGTAATGGTGCCGACTTCAAGGGGGCCATCCGACACACCGACACACACTTAACACACGTCACCCGAAACTGACACGCGACGCCCCACACGGCGACACGCGCCGCGGCCGAGTCAGTTTGTCTCGTCTGACAACAATAGCGCTGTCGACAGGCCGTGGGTCGGCTATCGCCGCTAGGACAACGGCACCTCTGTTGTCACTCGGTTGCACGCGCTCCGATGCACCGTGACATGTGTCTGTTCCCAAATGGGGCCTGGATATCCCTTTCCGCCCCCGTCCTGCCGCCGCCGGGCCCACGACGAGCGTGTGTGGCGGCGCGGGTCACTCGGTCCGTGTCGCATGCTGCTGTCGGCGTGCCGAGGAGTATCTGTCGATCGCGGTGGGCTGTTTACCTGCCGGCCGCCGACACGGCCGGGCGGCGGGCTCCGTTTGCTGTACCGTGTCGCCATTTCGGGGAGTGGAGCAGCGGGGAGTTTTCGCCGGTGTCATCAAAGCGACCCCCGCCAGCGATCTAACGTCATGTGACCGCCGGCATTTGGATGTTTGTTGGAAACTGGCGGGCTTCGTATTTCGGTGGGCGCTTGTGGTCGGGCGCTGTGCATGAAATGACATCATGGCAGCCGGATTTATGGAGTCTACTCGCGAAATCAGGCTTAGTTTGACATGTTGATACAAACAGCGCACGGAAAAGGCGAGTCGGGTCTTCCTCGTCACCGCCGCGCCGCCGCCGCCGGTGGTGGCCGGGCTTAAAATGGCCTCACGCGCGTGACTGTGCAATGGAGGCGGCTTCTCGGCACATCAGAGCCGCTGCTACTGGCTGCTACCTGTCCCAGCCAGTGCGGTATTCCGTGTCTGTCCGTCCGATTACTGCACTGAGGCTTGAGCAGGCACGACGTCGGGGATTTGATGGAGGCTACGAGTATAAAGCGGCTCCACCGGACTTGATACTAGACAGGCGCCAGGGCCTCCGGGAGCAGCATTCAGTTATATTCTCCTGACAGCTTTATGTCACGTGGGTGGCAAATATAATTTAATGTTAATTTTGCCTGAATTACCATGTGTGGTTAAAGGTATACGAATTTCGCTGTTCATGCTATCTGCAAATTGTCAGCAACAGATGTAAGCCTCGTGGTTATGCCCTCGTTGGTTGTCCCGTCTGCGTTATTTGGAAGTGTGTGTTCTGGTGACGTGCATTACGCCCACAATGCGCCCACGACGAGTTTTGCTGTGTTTGAGTGTCAATGTTACCACTGTTACATGTATTAATGTGGTGCCAGTGCTTTGGATGTTTGCTGTTCAAAGTTCAAACACATATGCAAGTGTTGTTGGAGGTTCTGCTAACAATATGTGCGTGTGTGCCACTTTTAACTGATGAATGTTGAAGTAACTCTTGCTGCACGTATGCTGGTAACCGGTGAATCTTGAATGATCCTTCCCTGTGCTAACTTGTCCTGGCTCTAATGATAGAAGCGACGTATATCATACAGGCCAAAATAACTCTGCTCCGTTGTTCTGCCACGCTACAAGCCACTGATTTTCTCCCGCTTCTCTAGCCTTACATCTCTGGATAAAGCATGGGCATCGGACAGTCCCCCACTAATCGAGTGGTCACTTCTCATCGCTTACTGTCTCACTCCCCTTCCCCACAACAAACCCGCTTACCCCGGCATCACTTCTTCACTAACCCACGCTAACCCAGGTGACACAAACCCCCACTACACCCGGGACTGACTAACCCCACTAACCCCACTTGCCCCGCTGCTCACTAACCCGACTAACCACTGGTGCGTCGGTGCCTTTCCGCAGCTGGAGGCGCGCCAGCTGATACCTCCGTACGTGCCCCCGCTGTCGGGGGACGTTGACCTGGAGTATTTTGACCCCCTGTTCACGTCTGAGCCGGTCCAGCTCACCCCCACCGACCAGTGAGTGACACAGCTGACCTGACCCGACCCGCATGCCCGCGCTGACTGTCGAGGCTGGCTTGAGCCTGCACCCGCCCGCCTGCCAGCCTGCCGGCCCGCCTGCTGGACCCTGTCCCTGTGTTTGTTGGTGCTGCTTCGTATGGTTTACGTTACAACCGCTGTGGCTTTCGTTCCCGTTATAGTGGTGTTTGGCGTTGAGTTGCGTTTTTTAGGCAGCGCTAGCGCTTTACGTTTATGTTTTCAGGAGTGGCTGCGCTTTCGTTTTGTTCGGTGCAGTGCTTACGTTTCGTTTTGGCAGCTGAGTGTTGTGCCCGTGTTGTCGGTCGCCGGGTGTGAGAGGTAGCGCCGCCCGCCGAGCGCTGGGTCACCGGTCGGTCGGCCGGCCGCCGCTGACGGTGGCGCCCCTGGCGGACGTTTGTTGCAGCTCGAACAGAAGCAGGTGACCCCGCCGTATAAGCCCCGTGTGGAGACGGAGAGAGATTTGGCCAACTTCCCGCCAGAGTTCACCGATGAGCCCGTCCAACTGACCCCCGACGATCGGTGAGTGACCGACGACTGGACTGGACGTGACCTGACCTGACCTGACCTGACTTGACCTGACGTGGCCTAACCGGCGCGGCGTCTTCATTAGTTGGAAAGTGTAATCGGATATTCCCAACAGAACACTTTTTATGTTTATAATTGGAGTAATTCGACCCATCGTGAGCAGTAAGGTCCAAAATGCCTGTAAAGTATAATCCATGTCACCAAATAACGACCTTATGTTTGTTTTCTAACACATGTGACATTCACCCTTCTATAAATGAAGTGTTAGAAAACTTGGACCTGACGGACCAAATCACCTGACTGACCTGACCTACTGCTCAAGCACGATGACCTGACGCTGAGCTTCTCGTCTGGCCTGCCATCAACTGGGCAAGATGCGTTCACAATCCAGCCTGGACTCGGTTGTTTGAGTTTTGATTCCACTCAGCTGGGGGCGACAGGTTCCGCGAGTTCTTCCACTGAAATGGCTCTCCAGGATGTCTGCCGTTGACAGCGAGATCAGAAGTCTGAAGTATAGACTGCTCATCTCGGATATCGAAATGAAAAACAGTGCGAGCGGATACAATGTAACTTTTTGCCCGTGCGAGCATCAGTTTATAATCAATTCTGTTCAACGGTTCCGTCACTATTAACACTATAGGTCGGCAAAATTTTCCGTTTTTCTATGCCGCTACCCAGTATCAGGTGTCTAGGGGGTGCCTACTAGAGGTGGCAAAAGTTGAAAATTTTGGGAACCAGACTCGAACCAGACCCGGCAGGACATTTCTGGAACCAGTCGGACCCGGCCTAGGCTGGAATCGGAACCAATTGGACCCGTTCCCCAAAAGTCAGTTAATGCAAACTATTTGTAGGTATCATTATAAGTGGCATCATATAAACAGCCTTTTTCCACTAGACCTACTTATGAGCTACAGTATGGAAAGGAACATGCATGAGCAAATGTTTTATTTCCATTCACTTCATATTTTGCAATCAGGCGTAGTGTGCAATATGTATGGTTTATGGTAGGACCCGGTTGGACCCGTCAGACAATTTCCAGGAACCGGTCTGGACCCATATGGGTCTAGACTGGTTCTTTGGACCGGGTCCTCGGGTCCACATTTTGCCATCTCTAGTGCCTACTGGCAATTTAATCAATTGGCGACGAAAGCAACTACTCGACTCTGGCAGAGTTGGCTCCACACACTCTAACCCTCTAACCTCGTCAGCTGCGGGACGCTTCCAGCTTCCCATTTTGGGAGAGGGGGTTAGCCGGGAGACTGGGAGGGATACTGGCGGCCAGCGTCGGAGTTGTGGGGTCTGGACGGACCGCGGGCCGAAATTAGCCGTACGTCCAAATAGTGGGCTATTGTGGGCGCCCCGCCGCCGCCGCTGCCGGAGAGTTCGGTCGGCTCGAGTTGGGTCAACAGAGGGGGGGGGGGGGGGCTACCAGAAAACCGTCAGGTGGTAGGTGTCGGTCCGGTGAACATCCAATCCAAGGGTATAGTTGACCGAGACGAGCGCCGAGGGCCATGGCAGCTGTGGTAGTCCCGGTAGTGTCACCGCCGGGCCGCGGTGGCTGCCCGGGCGTGCTCTCTGCCAGGTCAGGGAGTGTGAACTCACCGACCGGGTCACAGGGGAACAGCACGGTGCGGAGCGACCTGTGGCCCGCCAGAGAGCGCTCCAGACAGGTCGCCAGTTCAAGGGCGCCGCTGCTCGCCGACCATGGGGGATTGTTGTTTGAGGGGCTCCAGCAGTCGTGGGCGGATAAGTGAGCCTGTTTTCGCATGGGCTGCTCTGTGGTTGTTTTGTCTTAGTCAGTGCATCTGGTACGAGAGGTGAGTATTTAAGATGCGGCGAAGTACCAGAAAAAGGAATGCAATTCTTATTATATTCATAATATCCGAGATTAGCCGACTAGCTGAGCTCAAAAGCAGACCGATAGCATCCCGTACACTATCCAACTCTCAATCTGTCTGCCACAAACACAAGCATCACGCGATAGTCCCGTGATGATCCCCGCCTTATCCTTCGGACTGGGACCAACGCCGGGCCGGACCGAGACGGTCCACACAGACCAGGACGGTCTGATCCGGGGACCAGGGTGGTTTACACGGACCACGGCGGTCTGATTCGCAGACCATCATCTGATGAAAGATGAAGTGACGAGCTAGGAGGGATCCAGTCCGGTCAATCTATGCCAAATATTCGCCCACTCCGACTTGTATCAGAATTGAGGCCGGCGTGGCGCCGGATTATGAGATGACAAATGGTACGAGAAGATCGACTCATATCGAAAAGATCGAAAGATCGAAAAGTCCCGGCCCGGCCTGGGCTGGGTACGGACGGCACCGGTACAGAGCTAAACTGGTGTCGTGTGTTTTTGTATGATGAGATTGTCCATCGTGCTATTCTCGTTCCGAGATTTCCGATATCCCGGATACCAGATGATCTCAACTTCAGCTAGCATCTTGATGGGCTATTTATAAGTTAAACTGCTGTGCAGTCTTATTTGTCTTTTCCGGGTTACAGTCCCTGTTCTTGCCTGGTCTATCTTATGTTTCACCGATGAGTTAAATTAACCTAACTGAATCTACTTCAGCCATTTTTGTTGTTTTTAGTCGTCAAGTGTGTGCCGGGCGGTGCAATGTGGTAATTATACCAAATGGGAATCGTTTCTGTTAGCAGCCGCACCACAAGAGCTGATTTAATGGGTAATTGTAAGGTTATCAGCGGTTACCAGAGCCAACAATCGCAAAGCTCGTAATTAGTAAGGCAATGCGGCTGGCAACAAACGCCGAAAGGTCGTCTCAAAATGAGGGACGCGGGGTTGCAACGTATTCAGTTACATAAGATCCTACAGCCAGTTATGCTCATATCTTTTGCAGTCTGCAACGATTTGGTGCTAAATTACAGCTAATGAATGATATCTGCAAGGGGATCATCTACTATTGGGTATTTTCTTGATACATGTAATATAAAAAATAAATAGAATATAAAAGACGGTTAACTTCCTCCAAAAACCGACTGTCTATTTTCCTCCTCAAATCTGCACATCAAATTTTCCATCCGCGTGTTTTTGCGCGAGTGAAAATTACTATGCGTTCCGGCAATTACATAAAATACAAATAGAGTGAGGCACCATCAAACACCACCCCCTGACCTTCAAGGGTCACTCTCACTGCGGTGCCGAACATCACCAACGTGCCATGGGGTCCCGTCCACTTCCACAATATGAAGTGACGGCACCCTGGTAACAACACCCGGCTGCGACCTATCACCACAGCGTGATCCAGGCTGTCGGACCCACACGGCGTCCCCGACAGTGTAGGTGCTGTCCCTGCCCTCCGGACCGCTGCCGTCCGCTGGATCACCACCAGTGCCAGTGTCTGTCCTCACGCTGTCCCTGACCGAGTACCGGTAGATCTGTCCGGCTGGTGTCGTAGCCGAGCTCTGTCCGTCCTGAGGTGTTACGTTGTAAAGATGCACGGCATCGCCAACGGTGCACCCTGTTCTTGCGGCTATGACCTTCACGGTCCGATGATTCCTCTTTGCCACACCATTTCCACTTGGGTGGTAGACGGCGCGGAACCTCAGCCGAATTATCCACTGTGCCGCGAACACTGCAAACGCCCGACTGCGAAAGGCGGTATCATTATCCGCCAGGATCTCTTCTGGAGCTCCACGTTCATTGAAAATTCGATGCAGCTCTTCAATGACGTGCGCTGAATCTGCCCTTCGAAGCAATCTCCACAAACTGAACCTCGAAGGACCGCAGTCGACCACCGACAGGTACAGACTGCGCTGGTGGTGCGTGACGTCAATCGCCAGCCTAGTCCAGGACTCGTTCACCTCCAGCTTCCCAGGCTTCCACTTAACTGGTGCTGGGTCGATAGACCTGCATGCGTCACAGTGGGACACGACAGCACGCGCCTCTCTCCTCGTAATGTTCGGAGAAATCTCGCGCCGAGCGAAGAACAGCGTTCTCCGTACTCCAGGATGGCCTGCGCGGGTGTGCACCTCGCGAACCGCTGCTCGCCGTCCTCTTTCTTCGTCCTCGGTCCCATCTGCCCCGACGCCATCGCCGCCATCACCGCTCGTGCTGGAGCTATCTTCATCACCGCTGGTGCACTCAGCATTCACCGCAGCACCACATGTCCCAGCGGACTCTCCGTTCAGTGGACCGCGCAGCCACTGAGCGGGAACCCGGCTGAGGCAGTCCGCTTTGTTGTCCGCCGACTTCACCAGAGTCACTGTCAGATGCAGGTTGAATTCGGCCACCAACTGCTTGACTATGTCGACTCGGCGCCGTATCAACATTTCCCCGTGGGCCTTAGTGCGGAGACGTGCTCGGCTACTTAATGCATCGTCGAGCCAGCGATGAACAGTGGCCGAGTCCGTTTTCAGCTCGATGACTCGCATGCCCCAGGCGATAGCTAGATTGAGGCCTCGCAGGGCGGCATCGAGCTCTGCCA